TTCCTGAAAAGACTTCTCAAATTAAATTTAATTTAATTTAAATATTCTCCATCTAAACCATTTATATATATAAGTTTACCAATGTTAATATAAAACTATATTAATCTATATTAATCTATATTTTATTACATTACAAAATCGATTCATAATCTAATATATTTTTACATATATCTAATTTATATTCATAAAAATACTAATTTCGATTACTTATCGTCTAAATTTTCATTCAATTTTTAAAGAAAATGAATTATTTAATTTATACTATATATTCTATATTAAACAAAATATACAAACATTATTTTTATAAAAAAGAATGACATGAAATAATTATATTATGGCTTAGGATTAATTTTTTTTTATATTCGTATCTAGCTAATTCTAGTTGAAGAAAATATATTTATAAGAAATTTTTTTTTTTTTATTTTCTTATTTTTGAGAAAACTATTTCGTATTTTAGTTCTATTAAATACATTAACCAGAGGGAATTATTATTTGTAAAATAAAAATAAAGGATATTATTATTTAAAACATTTTCTTAAACAATAAATATTAAATAATACAAAATAATTAATTTTTATTATATCACATAATTAAATATGTTTTAATTGACAATTGAAATATTGTAATAAACAGAAATAATTGTACATAAATAATCTATAGTTGTATAAATGATTTTAAATATCTTTTCACGCGATAGCAGAGCTTTATTAAATAACACATTCAAAAAGACCTTATCAAGACCATAATCAAATTCTAATTTAAATAATGAGTTATTTTCTGAAGATTTTGAATTATTAAAAAATATTTTTTTACAATGCATATAACTTGAATAAATATTTGACATTATTATAAAGACTAGAAAAAATGTTTACCTCCTGAAACCAATATTTTTTAAAATTAATTTTTATAAATATACATAATCGTAAATTATTCAATCTTTTATATATAAATATAATTCTTTTTCATATTCAAATTTTTATCTTCTCCATAATATTAATTATAATGAAAACAAAAAACAAAAAACCTAAGCAGAGAGCGTAGTTCTTATTCGTATTCGTATTTATTCGTAGTTCTTAAGAAATTTCTCATTTTAAAGGGCAATGTTGTTATAGCAATGTTGTTATAGTTAAATACCTAATAGAAAATTGTTATCGATCAAATAAGCTGAGTATATTAAATAATGGGATCAGCTATTGGAAGAATAATTTCAAATTTATGTAAGATAATAATGATTTTGTATTAGTACATAAAGTTTAACGTCTAAATTATTAAAATCTAAATTATCTATCAGCTACCTAGATAGAACATATCGCTGCCCACGTGTTCTTTTACTGCAAAAATTTTGCCTTGATATGTATTACTGGATGAAGAGACGTTTTTTTTCTGGAAAGTGTCGACTTGTTGGCTACTTACGTCAAAGATACATTTTGATACTCGTGCTGAAGAAGCCATAAAGGTGATCTAAAGGTATATATATATGTATATATATATATATATATATATATATATATATAGGTCCACATAATTTAAAATATCTTTATTTTTATTGTGTGCGAATTTTTTTTCACGAGTATCAATGTGTGTCAAAGCTACTTTTTATTATATATATATATATATATATATATATATATATATATATATATATAGTTATATTCCCTTATACTGCTTTATTACGTAATTATAATTTATGATGTTGCTTTAATTTATTACTTGGTATTTCAGTATAAATATATACACTAGACGAATATAAAATGAAATTTTTGGTTAGAAAAAAATGTCATTTGTTTTTTCTATAATAAAATTTGCTTTCTTACATTTTCTATATTTCGTACCCCTACTCCCTTGTTAACAATATTTGCCTCTATTGTATCTCTACATATTCGACGCATTCTCTTATTTTCCTTAGAGAAAATTTCTTTCAAGATTTCTTTTCTCTCTCTCTCTCTCTCTCACTCTCTCTTCAAAATAATCAGAACATTTTGGCAGTGAGTTATCATCTGGCACCTGTTTCTCTCCGTTTCAACATTTATTTTTTTTTATGCGCGCGAGCTTGTTCCCTGCCTCTTTCTCAAACTTCTTCGCGACACATTTTCTTCGTGCACTTTTTTCTTGTTGCATACGTGTCGCGAATGTATTGGCAGCACAATCTGCGCGAGAGTATAAACTCTTGTTACAAAACCACTAGATATTTTTTTAAAATACTATATCTTGTTTACTTACAATATTTTAACAATTGTGCAAAAGTAGTCGAGATTTTGTTAGAATTTTAGTAAACATAAGCGAGAAATATTATTTATTAGTATTGAATGATTTGATATAATATAAATTTTAGATTATAATGTAATTTAATACAAATTCTCTTATAAATATATCTAGCATTACGATTGATATTTCTCGATTACTCTTTATACCTATTATCAATAAAATCTAATGTCTTTTTAACAAAATAAAACATTCTTTCAATTACATTTAATCATGATTAATTGTTTTATAGTAATGATTCTATTTAATTTACATTAATTTATGTAATCTTTCATCGATCCACCCGACCTTCGGTTAATTGAAAAATAAAATAACCCACATAGTCATTACTTAACAGGATATAAGTTAAATAGTAGTAAAGATTTAATATACACGGATTGGCGACTAATTTAAACACATTTGTAAGATAAAAGATATACTCGACATTTTTCTAGATTTTTATCGAATTTAATTCTTAGAGATTATGGAAGAATTAATATAGATACCGGTAACCATACAGATAATATATTAATAATATATGATAAATAATAATAAATAATCAATTATTAAAAAATTTATTAAACAATTTTCTATCGTATGGATAAATGAAAAAGCTTTATTTTAAAAGATATAATACAACGTGCTGTAAGATATTTTATTATTATTTATTATATTTATAATGCCACAATACTTTTAATATTCTAAATATTCTATCACTTACATTACCTATAATAATATTGTATTAAAAATCCATGCATATAAGAAGAATTTATTGGTTTTTATAGTAAGCGTCACTTTTTATAGTATTACATAATGTTTTAATTATAAAAGACTTGTGTAGGAGAATAAATAAATTTCCTTAGTGAAATTAATGAATAGAAAAACACTAACCTTATTAAACTGTAAATATAGATTTTGATAGTCGAGATATATTAAATATTTGTAGATCTATATTTTAGTACGTTAATTAGCCATTAGAAATAATGGACAATAGTTTCCCATTGAAATAAAGCTGATTAGGTCAATTGATATTGAGATGTTGCAGACGAGGGAAAAGGATGATTGTAGGTTTAAAGCTCTCTCCAACTATCTATCGAATACATTTCTGAGATATTCTCTAAGAAGCGAAAACAATTAATAATAATTTACGAAAGAACATTCCCAGACTTCGCAATGGAATATATAGCTCGACATATATAGCATAAAATAACAACAATAGTAATAAAATAACAGTTTAAATACGCAAATCGAGATCATTCTTTTTAATAATCTTAACTTTATTATAAATATGTTCGAATTTGTATTTTGATTAGCCTTTAAGTATATAGAAATAATAATTTTAAATATTTTTAGATTTTTCTATTATAAATTCTTGAATAAAAATATTTTTGTTTTTATATTTAACGTTACATTTGTTGAATTCTATTCAGAATAATTGTTACTTTCTTAAATATAATTGTATCATTTACGATATTATGTAAGATGTAAATCTAAATTGATTGTTTTATATAATCATGATATTTATAATTTGTAGTAAAAATTTGCTTCTACATTTTCCTGGTTATAAACGGAGAATATCAATGTGTTATGATGATCATATTTCATATTATTATGGAATTTCGAGATCTATTATTGTGTATTTTCCGTAACATATTAGGTTAACATACAATAATTTCACTATACAATTGTATTATCCGTTTTAAAGCTAAGGTTATTAAGCAGAGCAGAGTATTTTGGTAAGTTCGCGGCTCAATTCTCACTGTATTTACGTTAATTAGCCTTACACCGCGTTAATCTAGTATTAAACGATTAAATATTATGATTCATATATGTATTATGTATTCCTATTTACATTATCCTGTACATACAAAATCTTGCAAGTTTAAGTTATTGTAAATTAGTAAGTTGATATATTTCTTTATAGCGTTAGGATTGTAATAATAAATGTAATAAATAAAATTATATTTATAATATTTAACTTAATACTTAATCATCCGAACTAACCATCTATTATGTCACAAATTTTATGATCTATCAAATCAGCTTATAAATAAATTTTAATTATTGGATGTATAAACCTGATGCTTGACTTTCAACACATATTTAAATATAAATAATTCACAAAATAGTTCACATACTTATCTACATAATTTTATTCACATCTTTATTATTCATTGTTTATATACATAAGTATATCTAGATAATTAGTTAATATACGTTGAAAATTATTATACGTCGTATTCTAAATTTATATGAATTGCTTTAATCTAGACTATAAATCCATTAATTAACCATCTGAATTTTGAAAAATAATTTAAAGAAAATGTATTCAAGTAACGCGTAGAATGTTAATAAAGATTTTTGTGTATATATATATATATATATATTTTTAATACAATATATATATATATATATATATATGCGTTGCAAGAACATCGAATGCTTCCATTATCATTTCATTTTAATTGCGTGTTTTCAATAATGAGTTATATAATATATATAAACACACACACACACACACACACACACACACACATATGCATATATAGATTATATTAATATATTAATATATTAATAAAATGTTAAAAGTCTTTCTTATTGAATTGTTCATTAAAAAAAGTCCCCTAAATTAAACTTATCCGTTCACTTTATATTTACGTATAAACATATTAAATAAATGATTTATTAATAATAATATATATATATATATATATATATGTATGTATGTATTAGATGTTTTAAAAAGCAGTTTAAAATACTTCGCTTCCATATTGGTACGCTTGATGGATTACTGTCCACCTCGCACTTCAAACTGACGGACATCCCCTCGACGATTGGAATTCCAAAGCCTGGTAAGCGTGTCATCGTGAACGACGGCATATCTGTGAAGAAATATTGAATGAATTATAATAAGAGTAAAAACCTTGTTTCTTTCAATATTATTACGAAGAGTCACTACATTGTTTACTGCTAAATAATTAGCTTAGCACTGTAGAATATCAAATCTCATAGAAATTATATTATTTCTAATTATCGTATCTCAAGTCTCATAAATACAATTTCGATAAAGAATTATGATCAAATTCATGTTTGCTAATAGTGTATTCATGGTTCTCTTGTCATTTATTAAATTACGTAAATCCATTCGATTGTACGCTATTGTAAGTTAAATGAAATAAACGAAAATTTTAATCGAAAACATCGTAAAGAAGTACCATAAATTATATTTTAAATAATGATAATGATATCATTTTATTGGAAGTAAGAATATTAATCGAATTATTAGTTAAAAATTTTGCTTATTCAGTAGCTTAATAGCCGATAAATTTACAGTGCCACGAGAAAGAAAATGTTAATCGCCAGACTAAATGGAGCGGCTACTGTCATGAGGTGGAAACATTTTGTATTGAAATAACGATACAAGCGTAGCAACGTAAATATAAATGTAAATCTGATGGAGACAAGAATTGTGGATGAAGGGAAGCTGTATATCGTTTAAAAAAAAAAAAAAAAAATGGCCCAAGTCTAGTCTCAGGTATCCTGAAGTTATTCCTCGAATATATAATAGTACGTAGAGCAAAGACAATGCAGGTTTAATGAAAGCTGCATCTTCGCCATCCAACTTCTTCATCTTTACGTCACTCGCTTGTTCTGGAAACAGTACCAACGCGTGATGTAAACACCGTACAAAGCGAACAATGAAGCACCCAAGTGTCCCACAGACCCCGATTGCCTAATGAGAAGTTTAAAGCTCCTGGCCTATCTCTATCCCTATGTCATTTTGTTCCTCCCTCGAAATATCCTATTTTCATTTGGCGGTACGCCAGTAAATAGTTTCACTACTAGCATTAAGTTCCTACCACACAGACATCACCGCCATCAGAAATATTGCGTCCGACAAGTGTCTTCTTCGTGTGCCATCGCCGCCTCTCAAATTTACACATTTTTCCCGCTGTTTTCTTAAGTATTTTACACAGATATATTAATTTGTCCATTTGACATTTTTTGTTTGTTTTAACTCTTTGTTTATTATCATTTTTTTTTTTTACTATTGACTTATGATTACTTTAAAGTGTTACTGATTTATAAAAACTTTTTGAGCTATTTAGATATTTTTAAATACTTAAAGTAAGGATAAATAATTGAAAGGATACGCATCGTAAACGTTACAGTGCACGTTAAACATGAATTTTAACTGAGATAAACATTCGATTAACAATTTTTCTTTTTTAAACTTTATCAAATAACATTTATTTATTCGTATATTTTGAATTCAATAAACATGTTTACTAAACATGTTTACTTTTAACAACAAATGATAAGTCATTCGTACTCTTAACGAATAACTTATTTACATATATTTAAATGTATAATGTATTAAATTTTATGATATCTTTTTGTTAATTATCTTTTAATATAATTGTACGTTTCAATTTTTATCGGCGAAATCTAATGAATAATTGTTAATGAATAATTCCAAAGTATAATAATATTTCATAGCGAAAGAACTTTTTAGAATTAAGAATTTGTTATTTATTATCCAATTACTATACCAAGTACAGTGAATTCTTGAAATAATATTTTTATAGATTCTCTCATTGAATAAGATGAATTTTCAATACATTACACTAGGAAATAGAAGAAAAAAAATTTAAATCTCTCTTAGTAAAATAATTTCAATTCAGGAAAACTCAATTGTGTTTACAACGGACTACTCGTCGAATAGAAACTGAATTATTGGACGCATTAGTGCTGAAGTAGACGGTAAACTAGATGGATTCGAGTAAACCGGATATAAGTGTGGACAAAAGGGAGGAGGTTCGGAATGAGGTTTTCTAAAATTTGAATTTTTAATCTTAACATAAGAAAATTAAATTTTTTTAAAATTAATGTAAACTTATGTTTTGAAGTAAATTGTTTTATCTGTAAAGTCTTTGGTATATCGTAATTACGTCATTAAAAGAAGCTATTAAAATAATGTAATTTACAATAAAACATAAATTATCTACTGTTTTGAACAATTTACTCGGATGAAAAAAATATTAAATTTAAAAATGTATTTATAGTACTAGGGATGATTCACAAAGGTAAAGTTATTCTTAAGAGGAAAAATATCTTATATTCATTCGTGGAAACTTCGCCGATGCCTGAAGCGACATCTTTACAGGTTTGTCAAGTTTTCTGGAAAAACTTTGTAATCTTCACTGTGGTCATGCCACCTGCAACTTCTTAACGACATCCTGGCTAAAAAGTAAAGAAAATCGCTCTCTGCAGTGGAAAGTCAAAGATAATTAAGACGCTAAAGAATGCAAAGGAGATAAAAAAGAAAATTAGAAAAAGTAAGACATATATACGTAGAAAGAGGCATAAAGAGGGTTAAGGAGTTTCTTAATCTGAGTTTCTGTCGAAAAGCAATAATAAAAACTTTTTAAAAAAAAAAAAAAAAAAAAAAAAATTTTTAAAAAAAAAAAAAAAAAAAAAAAAGTTCGGCATAGAAAAATCGTAATATTTCACAATTAATAGAGTGTCTTTGTTATTGATTTTTTGCAGAAAACGCTGGAAGTACAATTATAAGTATAAAAAATAATTGATGAGAAATATGTATGTGAATAATATCCAAGAGAGAGAGAGAGAGAGAGAGAGAGAGAGAGAGAGAAACAATAAAAGTATAACAAAGAACAAAAACAATCATTAATTCTCTACTTTCACTGCCTATTCTTGTCGTATAATACGTTTTAGTCAAGTCTTTTTTAAAAATAAAAATAGAAATAGAGGATAACGTTATGTTAGTGTTAAAACAGAATGCATCCTGCCTCGGTCATATCTATTAGAATATCAATTTATAACTTTTCACAACCTAAATCGTATGCATGCATAATGAGAAAAAGTATAGTCGAGCGCACATTTCTTAATTGACAGAAGGAAAGTAAAAAAAAAAATAAATAAATAAATAAAAAAAAACTTTATTATTTAGTTTAATACTGTTTTTAAAAATATTCGCAATAAAATTTGAAAATTATCATGTTGTAGCCATATGTCAATCTAACTTTTCACTTACTCTTTTAATGTATTATATCTCATGCTAATTTTTTATGTATTACTGCTAACTCTTTTTTTAATTCAGTTTCTAACTGATTAAAATATTCCATAAATATATAATTATTGAACATGATTTTGTATTCGATAATCATCGTTAATTTATGCAATTTTTTCAAATATGGCCATGTCTTGTCGTTGTGCAAAATCTCGTACATACAAATCAATAATATCTAAATAATAAATCTATTTCTAACTTTCCATTTAGAAACTTTTTATTATTTTTATCACGTATCTTGAAATATTTTTATGTAGGATTACTCTTATGTAGTATAAAATGAAATCTTCACTAAGCGCCCGCGCAAGATGAGTATCTTTACATTCAAAGCTTATAACAAATGTCTTTAGATAATAAATTCTTTAAATATTACTTCGATTTACGGTATTTCTCGAAAATTAAAAAAATCATTTAAAATTTAAATAAATTTGTGAAATTGTCAGTTGTCAATCGAATTTTAACTAAAATTAAATATTTAATCTATTTGAGCAATCGAAGTTTAATTAGAATATCTTTCACTTCTATCATTGCATAATAACGAAACGGTGTTTTATAAAAAAAAAAAAAATATTTGTAAAATACTAATACGTATGGATTTCCAAATTCAAAATTATCTTATAAATATAAAGTTTTTAAACAATATTTTATCTCGATTAATGACATTAAGTTTAATGCGTTAATATATATCGTAATGCTCTCCCAATGAAATATATAAGTATAAATTAATATATCTTTTATATAAAATCAGCACTTATTAGTACGAAAGTTAAATGGTTAAATAAAAATAAAAAAAATGTACTGAACTTTATCGCCTTAATTAAATCAAATAATGAAAGCATTTTATTAATAAAATTTATTTAAAATAACATTAACTACTAATAAATTATAAATTGATTTTATGCCATGGTAGTTTCGATTATTTTATCTAAGAATAATATTATCTCACTTATCTCAGTTATCAATATTTTATCTCAGATTGTATAAATATTCTTTGTAATCTTTTATTATTTCCTTTCTGATAAAGTGACAATTATTTACATTAAATTATTCTATAAGAATTATATTTTCGTGTAATTATCACAATACTTATTAGTATAAACTGAAAGCTTTTATTTTACCATAAATCGAAATAGCATTTTCAAATTTGTTTATATTTTTCGCTTACTTTAGAAAAATGCTACAAAAGTAAAGTAGACAAGTAATTGTGGATAATTTATCGTAAAGTACAAAGTAATAGTAAATATACTAATACGAATGTTCATATTCATGAAAAATTTTATAGGAATATATAGTTCTTGACAGCCGCTTTAAAAGAATTCACATGAACTAACTTAAATGTAATTTAATATTTTTCATTAAATATAAGAAGTAATTACATCTGCATTTTAATAATTATATTTTCACGTCACTTATTCACATTTTATATATTTTACAATTAAGTCACTCTAAGTAATACCATATTTTGTAACAATATATCATATAAAAAATTTTAATATTACACATTACTGTCTGTAAATGACTTTTTAAAAATGTATTTTGCATTAAATAAGATAAAAGTAACAAAGTCTATGTAGATTCTCTTTTGTTATAAATTCTTGAAATAGTTTTTCAAAACTCTTTTTTCTTCATAAAAGTTATACTTGATATCTCTTGATTTTTCATTTTTTCGAACTTCCGTACCATTTATGTTTTTCTCTACTTTATGTTTTATCCTTATTTTTTTTTTCTTGTGCTGTGCGTCTCTGTGTGTGCATTTAGAGAGAAAAAAAAGAAAAGGGCAGAGAAAAG